ATATTATTATTGATCTAATCTATGCAATTCTTTCTCAAGTTCATGCATAAATCACTAAATCAATTGAAAGGTGATCAGACTTCCAATGCATTAAGCTCAATAATATAAACTCCTCATGCAAATAAATTTAATTGAAAGCATAAAATTACTAAATCCATATTGAATTGATTAGGCTACATCGTAACCCTAGTAGAATAAATCAGTTCATAATAAAAAGAATAAAATATGAAATCACAGTTATGAACATTCAAATATCAAACAATAGATAAAAGCCCAAGGAAAAACAAAACCCAATTTGAGAAATCCGAACTTCTTGATCTTCTATTGTTAATCGAATCTCAATCTTGATCTCCAATAATGCCTAAAAGAGAGCTGCCACCAGCCTCTCAAAACTCTCTTAATTCTGAATTTGGATGAGTATTTATAAGGTTTTAGAAACCCTAATTAGAATAGAAGTAGGATTTGAAACAAAATAGGAACTGGACCCTGAACGTATGGTGCTGACACTTCGAATTATATGTTGACACAAAATAAAAAACAGAATCTGATTCTGGACGTTTAACGCATGGTGTCGACACCCTAATAATGTGTCAACACTACACCCGTGTCGGGTTTCTATTCTCCTTTTGCAATTTCTTCAATGGTAAAATAGCAGATTTGGTTCCTGACTTCTGGATTCTGCACAAGTTGATCCTCAAGTCTTTGATCTCTTCAATTTACTTCTAAAAAGTAGGATTTCTTTTAATTAAATCCTTTCCTACACAAAAAATGAAAACGATGTAAAATCAAACAAAATCCCATAAAACTCATCCAAATATCAACAATATCAAGATAAAAATTTCACATTAATATTTATATAAATTTAACTCATCAAATTCCCCCAAACTTAAGTTTTGCTTGTCCTCGAGTAAAATAAAAAAAAAAACAAATAACTAAAAAAATAAAATCTAATTCACTTTCGTAGGAATCATGATTGCACTTAGCATGTGCAACAAGTATTTAAACCCCTAGGTCACCCTAGTGGATGAGTTGTGTCTCGTGAGGGTTTGTAGCAGATCTACCCACAAAATCCCAATGCAAAAATGCAACTATATGATATGCATGCCAAATAAAATTTAGGAATTAAAGTTCAATTAGAGGTAAAGTCTCAAATATTCAAAAGTTCTCATATGGACACTGATGCACTAAAATGACCCTAACAAGTGTACTAGTCGCTCCAAGTAATATAATGAT